CCCTTGGTAGAATGCTGTGGCATCACAGCTCACAGCAACCTCAAACTCTTGGGCCTAAGCGATTCTCTTGCCTCAGCCTCCGGAATAGTTGGGACTGTAGGCACCCACCACAACATACGGCTATTTTTTTTTTTTTTTTTAGAGACAGAGTCTTGCTCTAGCTCAGGCTGGTCTTGAACCTGTGAGCTTAGGCAGTTCATTCACCTTAACCTCCCAGAGTTCTAAGATTACAAGCGTGAGCCACCCGCCCAGCCAAAAGTTGCCTTAATATAGCAAAATAAAGAATTATCAACTTTGTCAGTGTCCCGAGATATTTTGGAAGGATACAGCCATTGAAACCTAAACGTCTAGGAGCCACTATTTGCATAGCATCCAAAGACTTTTCCAGCTGAAACTTAACTTTTGTCTTAACTCTAAAAGTCAAGTGACAGGCTCTGCGGACCTCAGAGTCTGCCCTGGCCTGTACTTGCCTCCAGGCTGCAGTAGGGCTGCAAGGTTGGCTGGTTCTCCTGATTTGAAAAGGAGACGAAAGTTTCATAAATTGCACGTTTCAGCAGAGCGGTCTGCCTTTCTCTAACGCTGCCCATTTTCCTGATTTGGCCTCGGGTCAGCCATGTCCTGTGTACAGTTGTCTCTGTCACAATGTTATGGCCCAGAGGACCTGGCTTGTTGGGGGGGGCCCACCTGAGGTGTGAAAACACCTTTTAGGCAGCTGAGCTAAGCTGTATTTATGCTGATGAACCCTCCTGGCAGAGACTTCACCCCCTTCTCTCCTCATTATTATTATTATTTTTTTTTTTTTTGAGACAGAGTCTCAAGCTGTCCCCCTAGGCAGAGTGCCGTGGCATTACAGCTCACAGCAACCCCCAACTCCTGGGCTCAAGCGAGTCTCCTGCCTCCGCCTCCCAACTAGCTGGGACTACAGGCGCCCGCCACAACGCCCGGCTATTTTTTGGTTGCAGCCATCATTGTTGTTTGGCGGATCTGGGCTGGGGATTCGAACCCGCCACCTTAGGTGTATGTGGCTGGCGCCTTAGCCGGTTGAGCTATAGGCGCCGAGCCCCTTCGCTCCTCATTGAGAGTCAAGTTTTCCTTCCCCCAAAAGGCTTGGCTTGGCGGGGGAAGGTGGGAGAGGCAGCCTCTTAGTGACAGGTGAAGGTGATTATCAGGGACTCTGGAAGTTTGTGGTCCTGGCTGATTTTTTTTTTTTTTATTGAATGGTAACTATGTATATTAATGCACTTCTGGGGTACAGTGTGGGATTTTCACACACAATCCGAAACACTTCCATCAAACTGGTTAACATAGCCTTCATGTCATTTTCTTAGTTATTATTTTAAAACGTTCACATTCTGCTCTTAGAAAGATTCACTTGTACCCTTGCTGATTTTTTTTTTTAAGCTTTATAGCAGTGGCTCATGCCTGTAATTCTAGCATTCTGGGAGGCTGAGGTGGGTGTATTACTTGAGCTCAGGAGTTCGAAACCAGCCTGAACAAGAGCAAGAGCCCATCTCTAAAAATAGCCGGGCAGAGTAGCAAATGCCTTTGTCCCAGCTACTTGGGAGGCTGAGGCAAGAGAATGGCTTGAGCCCAAGAGTTTGAGGTTGCTGTGAGCTGTGATGCCAGGGCACTCTACCGAGGGTGACAAAGTGAGACTCTGTCTCAAAAAACAAAAAACAAAAACAGCTGTATAGGCCAGGATGACTCACACCTGTAGTCCTAGCTCTCTGGGCGCTCCAAGCAAGAGAATTGTTTGAGCTCAGAAGTTGTTGGTTTTTTTTTTTTTTTGGTTTGGGATTCATTGAGAGTATAAAGAGTTAGTTTACACAGATTGCATTTGTTAGATAAAGTCCCTCTTATAATTGAGTTTGATACCAGCTTGAGCAAGAAAAAAACTAAAAACAGAAAAAATTAACTGGATGTGGTGGTGTAAGCCTATAGTTCTATCTACTCAGGAGGCTGAGGCAGGAGGATCACTTGAACCCACGAGTTGGAGGTTGCAGTGAGTTCTGATGACAACACTGCCCCCTACCTGCAGAGGCAGAGCAAGACTCTTGTCTCAAGAAAAAAAAAGCTTTATTGAGGTATAATTCACATACCATATAATTCATAGTATACAAGACAATGATTTTTAGTACATTGTAGCACATTTTCATGACCCCTAAAAGAAACTGCCTTTGAACTATCACCTCAGCTGCCTCACCCCTAGTCCTCTGGCACCCAGCAACCATGAACCTCCTGCTCCACAGATTTCCTGATTCTGACATTTCGTATAGATGGAATGGTATAATATGTGGCCCCTTCGTGATTGTCACTTAGTGTGATGGTCTCGGCATTTTTATGTGTTTGTAGCACATAGCAATATTTCATCTTTTTTTTTTTTTACTTTATTTTTTTTAGATTAGTTTAGGTTCACAGTAAAATTGAACAGAAAGTACAGAGAATTTCCTCGTACCCCCAACCCCACAGGTGCACAGCCTCCCCCACGATCAACACTGGCACCAGAGTAGCACCCGTATCACAGTCCATGGAGCCACGTGGACACACGATTATCACCCAAAGTCCACAGCTTACTTTTGGGGCCACTCTTGGTGTTGAGCACCCTATAGATGCTGGCAAATGGATAATGACCCCTGTTCACCATCACAGTATCATACAGAGTAGTTTCGCTACCCTAAAAATCTGCCTTTTCATCCCTCCCTGCCTAGTAACCATTGATATTTTTACTGTCCCCCTAGCTGTGCCTTTTCCAGAATGTCATATAATTAGAATCATACAGTCCATAGCCTTTCCAGATCAGCTTCATTCACTCAGTGACAGGTCCTTCCATGGCTTTCCATGGTAGCTTTTAGCATCAAATACTATTCTATTTTACGGATGTGCCATAGTTTAGCCATTCACGTACAGAAGGTAGGCAATCTTGGATGCTTCCAAGTTGGGGCAATTATCCATACAGCTGCTACACTATACGCCTTTGCTTAGTTGAATAATACCCCGTTGTAGGAATATGCCGTATTTTATTTACTCACTTATAGTGGAGGGGCATTTGGGTTGTATCCGCCTTCTGGCTGTTATGAATAGTGCCGCTGTGACCATTGCTGTACAGGTTTCTGTTTGACTGAAAACTGAACCTGTTTTCAGTTCTTTTGGCCACAGTACCTATGCGCCCAGCAGCTGGGTCATGTAGCAACTCTCTATTTACCTAGGTGATGAGCTGCCAGACTGTTTTTTTGAAGCAACTGTATCATTTCAGGTTCCCACCAGCAGGGCCAGGGGCTGCTGATTCCTCCACAGCCTGGTCTGACTTTTCATTCTAGCCATCCTAGAGGGAGTGAAGTGGTATCTCACTGTGGTTTTGTTCTGCGTTTCCCTGATGACTAATGACACAGAGCAGCTTTTCATATGCTTATTGGCCATTTGCATATCTTCCTTGGAGAAATAGCTATTCAGATCCTTTGCCCATTTTTAAATTGGGTTATTTGTCTTTTTATTATTGAGTTGTGAGAGCGTCTCCCCGCCCCTCCCCCCATCTTCTGGATACAAGCCCCTTATCAGATATATAATTTGCAAATATTGTCTCCCACCATCCACTCTTATCCGGCGCTCCCTCCCCCTCCCTGCCCCTGCAAAGCTAGAAACGGAGAGTAGAAGAGTTTTGATTTGTTTTTAAAGACTAAAAACAAAACGGCGGCCCACAGAAAACCTCAGTTTTCGCAAGTGTAAAGTACAGATGCTAATTTCCCATAATGGAGTAATTATAAGAATTAAGTATTGCAAGTGAAATACCTAGCGATTATTTATCATAGAATAAGGCTCATTATTGTTTTATGTCTGATAACTTTGTATGATTTCTTAGGCAGTTGAGAAAACTTGATTATGTTTTATGTTACATTAGTTAATCTCCTTCATGACCTTTCAGTTTTGTGTCATCCTCTAAGACAGTGGTTCTCAACCTATAGGTCACGACCCACAGGAACTGTATTAAAGGGCCGCGGCATTAGGACGGTTGAGGACCACTGCTCTAAGATAGTAAAATATTGCTTTCTGGTTTTTTGTTTTGTTTTGTTTATTGTTGAGGAAAGCATTGGAGGTACAAAGAACCAGGTTACATTGCTTGCATTTGTTAGGTGAAGTTGGTTTCATTTTGTTTTGAGACAGTGTCTTACTCTGGCACCCTGGGTAGGGTGCCATGGTGTCATCATAGCTCACAGGAACTTCAAACTCTTAGGCTCAAGAGATCCTCTTGCCTCAGCCTCCCAAGCAGCTGGGACTATAGGCACCCACCACCATGCCTGGCTAGTATTTTCTCTTTTAGTAAAAACAGGGTCTTACTGCTGTTTAAGTTGATCTCAAACTCTGAGCTCAAGCAATCCACCCACCTTGGCCTTCTCAGAGCGCTATAGGCATGAGCCACCGCACTTGGCCTCTTTTTTTTTTTTGGAGACAGAGTCTCATTGTGTTGCCCAGGTTAGAGTGACCTGGTGTCAGCCTAGCTGACAGCAACCTCAAGTTCTTGGGTTCAAGTGATCCTCCTGCCTTAGCCTCCCTCATAGCTGGGACTACAACCACCTGCCACAACGCCTGGCTAATTTTTCTATTTCCTTTTTCTTTTTTTAATTTGAGACTGTCTCACTGTGTCACCCTGGATAGAGTGCTATGGCATCACAGCTTACAGCAACCTCAAACTCTTGGGCCCAAGCGATTCTCTTGTCTCAGCCTCCTAAGTAGCTGGGATTACAGCATCCCCCCACAACACTGGCTATTTTGTTTTTTTCTGTTGCAGTTGTCATTGTTGGTTAGCTGGCCCGGGCTGGGTTTGAACCTGTCAGTCTCAGTGCATGTGATAGGCATCAGAACCACCATGCTATGGGCGCCAAGCCCTAATTTTCTATTTCTAGTAGAGATGGGGTCTTACTGTTCCTCAGGTTGGTCTCAGAGTCCTGAGCTCAAGGGATCCTCCCTCCTCGGCCTCCTAGAGGATCTGTGGTTTCTTCTAGTAAACAAACAAACAAAAAAACCCAACAAACCCACACCTGGATATATACTCAAAAGAGTTAGAAGCAGAGACTCAAGCAGATGTCAACATTATTCACAATAGGCCAAAGGGGTAACAACTCAAATGACCATTAACAGATGAATGAATAAGCAAAATGTGGTATATAAATGCAATGGAATGTTATTTGGCTTTAAAAAACAATAAAATTTCGGACACATGCTACAACATGAGTAAATCTTGAGGACTTTATGCTAAGTAAAATAAGCCAGACAGGAAAGGATAAATATTGTATGATTCTACATGAATAAAGTCTTCAAGTAGTCGAATTCCTAGAGACAGAAAGTAATTTTTTTTTTCTTGAGACATAGTCTCACTCTGTCACCCAGGGTGGAGTGCCACGGCTATCGTGGCTCATACCTATAATCCTACCACTCTGGGAGGCCCAGGCAAGTGGGCCTGAGCTCAAGAGTTTGAGACCAGCCTGAGTTAGACCCAGTCTGTCCTAAAAATAGAAAAATTAGTGGGGCATTGTGTGTACCTGTAGTCTGAGCTACTTGGGAAGCTGAGGCAAGAGGATCACTTGAGCTCAAGAGTTTGAGGTTGCTGTGAGCTATGATGCCATAGCATTCTACCCAGAGTAACAGACTGAGACTCTGTCTCAAAAAAAAGAAAAAAATTGCTCTGGAAATGTGTGTTGGTTATGGTTATACATCAATGTTCTTAATACCACTGAAGTGTGCACTTAAAAATTGTTAAAATGGTAAATTATATGTTATGTATATTTTACCACACAAAAATATCTATTAACCAAAGGGAAGAAAACTGAAAACAAAACCAAAAACAAAAGCACCCACTCATGGACTCTGCCCCTGCAGCTGGTTCCAGAACAGCCTGTGAGTTCCTCTAAGGCAGTGGTTCTCAACCTTCCTAATGCCATGACCCTTTAATTCAGTTCCTCATGTTGTGGTGACCCCCAACCATAACATCATTTTCGTTGCTACTTCACAACTGTAATGTTGCTGCTGTTATGAATCGTAATGTAAATATCTGATATGCAGGATGTAGTTAGATGACCCCTGTGGAAGGGTCATTTGACCCCCAAAGGGGTCGTGACCCACAGGTTGAGAACCGCTGCTCTAAAGGGAATGGGAGTGCTGAGCTGAGGGTTGCCACCTACCAGACTCAGGACAGGCAGATGGAAAAGACAGGAGTTTCAAGACAGAGTCACACTGAGAGTAAGGAGCATGGGGAGGCCGTGTACATTGCTGGAAAGAGATCTGGCCCTGGAATCATCTTGCCTGGGTCTGACTTCTGGCTCTATTATGCAACCTTGGGCAAGTCACCTCACCTCTCTGGGCCCTGGCTTCCTCACCTGTAAAATGGAGTGGTAATAATTCCTCCCTGGGAAGAGGCCTGGCTCTGTGAGAGAACGCCAAGTGATAACCAAGCAGAACTGTGTGGTGGAAGGACTGCTAGACTTGGAGGAAGCTTTCATTCTGTTCCTGTCCTTGTTATCTGTATGAAGTTCAGTAAGATGCTTGATATCTCTGGACTTCCGTCTCTCCAACTGTGAAGTGGAAATAATTACACCTGCCCCATTACTTGCTTTAAAATCGTGAGATGGATAAGAAAGACTTCTGTAAATGGACCAGCCTTATAAAAAAGTAAAATGGAGATTAAAAAATAAAGACATAGGCTCGGCGCCTATAGCTCAACTGGCTAAGGCGCCAGCCATGTACACCTAAGGTGGCGGGTTCAAATCCCCAGCCCGGACCCGCCAAACAATAATGATGGCTGCAACCAAAAAATAGCTGGGCGTTGTGGCGGGCACCTGTGGTCCCAGCTACTTGGGAGGCGGAGACAGGAGACTCCCT